CCCCCCCCCCCCCCCCCGGTTTAGAGTAAAAATTGTATTCTATACTCCCCTAAATAACCTGAATAAACTCTACTTTTTAATATAGAACATTGTTTACCCCTCAGCAATGATAATGTTTTGGATACAATATTGTGAAAATTAATTTCACCTGTTTCCATTTACATTTTTAACATGGCTGATTAGAACATTTAAAATTCCTTATGTGGCTAACATTATATTTCTGTTGGACACTGCTATTCTAGACCATCAAGATAATGTTATCATGATACTTACAGCTTCAAAGAAGATGTCGTTTTCACTCCAACAACCAAGCTATCATCTATTACACGGTACCATATCTTCTCTATTAGCCGTTCTGAATCTTGAAAATCATCTGGTATCTTTTCCTCAAAGGTGCAGACAGGGCTTTCTTCTTTACCACAAAGAGTAACAAGATGTGCCTTAAAGAAAAACATGTTTAATAACTTACTACCAAAAAAACTACCAATGTGGCAAAACTAAAAAAATAACATAAATCAGCTTTCAGTCGGGCCTTAAAGCTTACATATTTTAAAATACACTGTCATCTGCACCATACAATTTTATACTATAGGCTATATATAAATCACTAAAACAAAATTTATAGAACCTATATGTAATAAACTATCTACTGAGACCAAGAAGCATGGCCTGACTGGAAACAAGATGGGGTATCCAACACAGAGCCAGCAAAGATATAAACTTGGAGTCCAAAATAACCTGATAATATATGTCCTGGGTGGGCTGAGAACAATCCAAAGATTATTAAAGTGACTTAGACTAAAATGATAACTGTAAAATTTTGTACAAATAAAACTGATTAAAAATCTTTAGACTGGTGATCAATCATGGCTAAAATTGTACTCTTAAAGTCCAGGCCATATTCACTCACTTCCACACACATATCGATTTATAACAACAATAGAAATGGTGGGAGGAGGAGAAATAATAATCATAATGATTCAGAACACTTACTGAATGCTTACTACGTGTCCAGCACTGTTCTCAGTGTTACTCAGGATTCAATCTGCTTAACCTTCACAAAACCCCCAGTACCTTAGTTAGGTAGTATTATTATGTACGTTTTCCAGGTAAGGAAGATAGGAGGCTAAGGTCACACAGCTAGCAAGTGGCAGAGCTGGGATTTGAACCAAAGTAGACTGGTTCCAGAGCCCATGTCCTATTTTAACCATTACTCTATACTGCTCCTCTATGTGGTAATTACTGAAAAAACGTATGTAATATGAAATAAGATACACTTACATTATAGTAGGCTGAACAAGTTTCTAGGAATCTGATACCTTTGCCAGGAGCTGTGAGATTTGAGACAGGCCATTCATCTGAAACCTGGGGTAATTTTTACTGCCTGCCAGAATTGCTTTTAAAATTAATCATGTAAACAGCCCAAAATGGTGCCTTGCACATAATTACTTCAGTGCATTAATTTCGAAACATTTCTTCCCCTTTTCTAATACTAGCAAAATCACTGGTATGAGGTGGGAAAGGGACATGGGGGAGACTTTTAACAATGACTTTCATGAGCTTTCCCAAGAGATTAGAACAGTAATACAGAAAAGCAACATGCTGTGCTTTTGTTATGATTCTTACATTAATGGAATCATATTTTGGACCCAAGTCCTCATGTTGCTAAGACTGAAATACAGACACAAGGCATAGACTGCTGCAAGACTGGTCAATCTAGAAGGAATTCCGAGCTAGGCACTAAGGTGACTTGAGGGAGAAAAATGTAGTATCAAGTTTCTCCATGTCCAGCTTTTCTTAATTTATTTGTAATTTTACTACACTTTCTCTGTATGGAACTAATGTTCATAAATACTATTTTTTATGAAGTTGAAGGAGTTTTTGGTAACCTTCTACACTACTGTACTGACATAAGTAATTGCAAGAACCTAAAGAGGTTCTTATGCTGGTCAACCATAAAGAAAATGAGAGTAAAATTATAAAAAGCAGATATAAACACTAAAAAAGCACAGCAATTTGGGGGCATTAACTACAAGAATAAATAGCCTTAGAAATGAACACTGCAATAGATGAAAAGAACGATTATTATAATAATGATGAAATTATGTATTCATTAATAAAAGGTTACATAATGCTCAGTATATTCTGTTTAAGAAGTCAGAAAATATATAATTCACTTAGGGGAGTTTTCTATTGAAACTACACAAATAAAAATGTTTAATAGTTAAATCTTTTAAACAAAAGGACTTGTTCCCCAAGGCTCCTGACAACTGAGATTTCAGTATCCTATAGATTAAGAATAATTTGCAAATTGGTAAAATACTGACTCCTTAATCAAATATTTTTAAGTCACAAAAGTCCAGCATTATAATCCCTGCCACTTTGCTTCTTGCCTCCATTGAGTGGAATTTTCCAATATATCCAAATATTCCAATGTAAATAACTCTTCAAGACCCACAACTATATGATCAACTCATCTTTGACAAAGCAGGAAAGAATATCTAATGGAAAAAAGACAGTTTCTCCAACAAATGGTGCTAGGAAAACTGGATGGCAATATGCAGAAGAATGGAACTGCACCACTGTCTTACGCCATACACAAAAATGAATTCAAAATGGATGAAAAACCTAAACGTGAGACAGGAAACCATCAAAATCCCAGAGGATAACACAAAGAGGATAAACAAACCTCTTTGACCTCGGCCAGAACAACTTACTAGACATGGTGCCAGAGACAAGGGAAACAAAAGCAAACATTAACTATTGGGACCTCATCAAGATAAAAAGCTTCTGCACAGAAAAGGAAACAATCAACAAATATAAAAGGCAGCCTACAGAATGGGAGAAGATATTTGCAAACAACATATCTGATAAAGTGTTAGTATCCAAAATCCATAAAGAACTTATCAAACTCAACATCCAAAAAACAAATAATCCAGTGAAGAAACGGGCAGAAGACATGAATAAACACTTTTCCAAAGAAGACATCCAGATGGTAACAGACACATGAAAAGATGCCCCACATCACTCATAAGGAAAATACAAATCAAAACCATGGTGAGATACCACCTCACATCTGTCAGAATAGCTAACATGAACAACACAAGAAACAACAGGTGTTGGCAAGGATTCAGAGAAAGGGGAACCCTCCTGCACCGTTGGTGGTGCAACTGGTGCAAACTGGTGCAGCTACTCTGGACAAGAGTATGGAGGTTTGTCTCAAGAAACTAAAAACAGAACTACCCAACACCCCAGCAATTGCACTATTAGGTATTTACCCAAAGGATACAAAAATACAGATTCAAAAGGGGTACACGCACCCCAATGTTTATAGAAGCATTAGCAACAATAGCCAAACTATGGAAAGAGCCCAAATGTCCATCGACTGATGAATGGATAAAGATGTGGTATGTAGGTATGTACGTATATATATACACACATGTACATACATATACATACAATGGAATATTACTCAGCCATCAAAAAGAATGAAATCTTGCCATTTACAATGAAGTAGGTGGAACTAGAATGTATTATGCTAAGCGAAATACGTCAATCAGAGAAAGACAAATACCATATGATTTCACTCCTATGTGGAATTTAAGAACCAAAACAGATAAACATAGGTGAAGCAGGGGAATGAAAGAGAAGAGACTGAAATAAACCACAGGAGACTCTTAATGACAGAGGACAAACTATGGGTTGACAGAGGAAGGTAGGTGGCAGATGGGCTAGATGGGTGATGGGTACTAAGGAGGGCACTTGTAACACTTGGGTGTCATATGTAAGTGATGAATCACCAAATTCCACTACTGAAACTAATATTACATTTTATGTTAACTAAAATTTAAATTTTTTAAAAAAGGAAAAAATTAAAAAGAAAAAAAAATGACTTCCAATAGCTTGTAGATTTTCAATTCATAAAATGATACAATGGTCACATGATGAATTTTACCTTCTCTGCAGCTGATGTACTTTCATCTTTCCCTTGAATCAGGTTTATTAAAATTTTCCAATATTTTGAAATAATTTTTTCCTTAAGCAAGAGATGCTGCTTTAATTCCTGAATAGAAGCCAATCCAACCTGTAAAGTAGCAAAAAAAAAAAAAAAATCATTGCCAGAGACATCATTTCAAATGAAGTCTGACAATACCATTAATTCAGAAAGTACTTTCTCCAAATTCGTTTATTAATTCATTTTTCCATAGAAAAGCAGAGAATACTTCTCAGAGCAAAACTATTTTCTTTGTAAATGTTAAGTAATTATAAAGGAAAAAACAGAGCAAGTAACTGCAACAGAGTTTATATATCAAACTGAGAGAATGCCAATGTATTAGCATGCATTTCACCACTGAATTAAGTAATCAATCAATACGAACATGAATGTGTAATCCATATGAATAAAAATTAAGGCCTACCAACACTCCTATCCCCCACAAGAAAACTATTTTTCTCATTGCTGAAATAATTTCGGCTTCAAAAAGCAAAGACATCATTATGAGTAGAAATGGTCACTTTTAATTTGATACTATTTGAAATCCTGTTTAATATAACATCTATAGCAAATTTATTTATTATTTGAGAGAGAGAGAGAGAGAGAGAGAGAGAGAGAGAGAGAGAGAGAGAGACAGCACAGGCATACAAGCTGGGAAGAGGGGCAGATGGAGAGAGAACCCTAAGCAGGCTCCACGCTCAGCACAGAGCCCAATGCAGGGCTTGATCCCATGACACTGGGATCATGAACTGAGCCAAAATCAAGAATCAGACGCTCAACTGACTGAGCCACTCAGGTGCCCCTATAGCAAATTTTAAAGATAACACATAGCCCCCAAACTGTTACAAGTTTAATTTTGTGCTAATAAACTCAGTGCTGGGGTCAACTCTTAACTACAGAAAACAAAGACTGGGCAAAGAGCAATCCATTCCTTTTTTTATACCAGATAAATAGATTTCACTACTAAAGATGGAACATTCATGAAATATATTTTGCTACTGAAAATTTAAAGTCATGTCTTTGAACTTACAGAAGCTATTTCATTTCAGATGGATACCTGAGACTATTGAAGTATTAATCCAGCTTTTAATGTAACATGTTTTTCTATACTGGAAAACAAAACGCATCCTGTTTTTAAATTCCTTTCTTTCAAATTACAGTTAAAGTCAGGTAAATTCCCTAACTTTTTATTGGTGAACAGAAGTTAGAAAGTAAAGACTGAATTATATCTTACCTCACTGCACAAAGTAGGTAAAGTGTCTAGCTATTATTTAAAAACCATCTGTTGACCTATTTCTGTGGGCTCCACATTATTCACACTGTATCACTCACTCCCTGAGTAATTTGTCACTTACGGAGAGGGAGCTGGACACGTCAGAGGGGGAGAGTCTAACTGGAGAATGCTGGAGGGGTAGGGAGTAGAAGAGAGGAATATGTAGGCAGACTGACAATGAAGGTACCCTCAAAAGTTACCTGTGTTCTCTCTTCCCTACTTTCAATATGCACCGCCCCCAACTCCAGGACTAAATACTGAATCATTAGATTATTCAAATATTCTATGTTGTGAAGTACTATTATAAAACTATAAAAATAACCACATGGTAGCACATTTAAACAGCATAAAAATACATTTCAACTTCCCTTTCTAGACCCTCAATCCCATTTGTACAGCCAACATATTGTTTATCTTTCTAGAACCTTTCCATGCTTATGTTAAGGAATGCTCTCTTTCTCCTCACTCTAAGGAAGTAAAATCCACCCCAAACCAAATACAGGCGCATAGGGCGCTACAAGACACCAGACCTTGCTTTTTTGTTTTTATTGCGATTTCTCTTATACATGGAGAAGAGTGAATACAGAAAACACTTTACAAACTAATCATGAAGTCAACACCCAAATAACCATACACAGTTGGCTGCCCGTGGACCCTCCCTAGTCACCAACTCCTCTTTTTCCAACGGAGGCAACACTACCCTGGCCTCTTAAGGTAACTTCCTTGTTTGTCTACATAATTTTACCATCACCGTAACTCCTAAAGAGTATTTTTAGCTTTTTGTGTGTTTTGCTTTGACACCTTTTATGAATGGAATCATTCTGTATGTACCAGGTTTTAGAGTCATCCCATTTGTCACTAGTAGTTGTAGACTTTCATTGCTCTGCAGTATTGCATCATGTGACCATACCAGCTCACTTCTCCATCCTTCTGCTGATGGACATCTGGATTATATCCAGGCATAGGCTATTACAAACAGTGATGCTGTGAACATTCCTGTACACATGCACAAGTTTCTCCAAGGTCCTGGTCTCCTTGTTTCCCCTCCAACTTGTTTCCTTCCAACCGTTCGGTTGGAAAACAAATTTTATAAGGGAAAGAACGGTGAAACGGACACTGGTTCAAGTTCTGCCTGTCACTTAACCTTTCTGGCTATTTGCTTCCTCATATATAAAATGGGGGAGGGGGAAGGAAGACTTGTTAATCTCTAAAAGGCCTTCCAACACTTGGAAATGTTTTTATCCAAATTGAGAGCTAGTAATAACGTGTGGATACTTGAAATAAAATGGACATGCAACTATATCTTATTCACTTTCATATGTTCCTGCCTCCCCTGTGTTTTTTTTAATATTTTCCTCCAACGACTCTGTGCTATCTTCTGAATAATTTTTGTAACATAGTTTGGTTTGCTTCTTTGCTCTGTATCTCTTTGAGTCAGCTGTTAAACTCATCTGATGAGACATTTTTATTTCAATGTATTTTTTAGTTCATAGAAATGCTATTTGGTCATTTTCGGTGAACAGTTGCTCATGATGCCTTGTTTATGTGCTTAGTTATTCTGTGGGTGGCTCATTTTCTTTGAAAAATTACTTGTGAGATTTATAAGAGGCCGTGGATAAATGTGTGTTTTGAGAGAGGACTTTGTGTTTGTTTCTGCCAGTTGCCTAGGGTACTACTGCTTTAGGTTAAACACAAATGCTCCCAGGGCAAAAGCAGTATCAGTGTTCTCTGGGTTCTCTCTGGGTTCCAGCCTTTAGAGCTTGGCCTGATAATTTATATTTTCACCTCTCTGAAGCTTTTAGGGAGATTTTAAAGACATATTTCAACTATGATTTTAACTTGGTTTTATCAGAAGAGTTGGTCCAAATAAAGTAGGTGACACATTACCAGAGGTGGAATTTCTAAAAGTCATGCTTTCATAAATTAAATTATTTTGGCATCATTTCTAACTCAGTATAAAGATCTACCTTATTCTTCTTGATAGCTTCATGGTATTCCGTAGTTCAGGTATATGATAACTGATTTGCCAAACTCCTAATGATGGATATTTAGACTGAATTTTGTTGTCTATAAATACTATATAAACATTCCTATAAAATCATCTTTGTTTACTGTACAAGTATATCCTTAGGACAGATTTCTAGAAGTAAAGTGGCGAGAGTAAGAAGAAAAGTCCTGTCCACATTTTAATAGCTGTAACAACTTTCCTTCTGAGGAGGTTGAGCCACTTTACATTCTCAGCAATACTGTTTCTGAATGCATATTCATATTAAGGAAATTAATCATTTTTTTAAGAGACAGAGAGAGGGAGGGGGCGGGGGCAGAAGGAGAGAGAGAATCTTAAGCAGGCTCCACACTTAGTGCAGAGCCAGACACAGGGCTCGAGCCCATGACCCTAGGATCATGACCTGAGCCAAAATCAAGAGTCAGATGCTCAAGTGACTGAGCCACCCAAACGTCCCAAGGAAATTAATCCTTCATCGCTTGTTACAATAACTATTTACATAATTTGTCTTTTTATATACTTTATTTTGTTCAGAGCACAAAAGGTTTTTTTTTTTTAACTTTTTAAATGTTTATGTTTTTGAGACAGA